CATCTATCTATCTATCTATATATATATATATATATATATATATATATATATATATATATATATATATATATATATATATATATATATATATTATTATAGTTAACAAAAATGAACGAAAAACGAAAACTAAAATTTTACATATTTGTCGTTAACTGAAATAAAATAAAAACTAACTGAAACGAACTAAAATTATAGCAAAAACCTCCTTCGTTTTCGTCTTTGTAAATGTATTTGATACATAATCTTACTGTAAACCGTTCAGAAGTAAATCTAATTCGCGCTGCAGGTGTTTGACCTGTACGGCAGCTGAGTCTGTGCTCCTGTGGCCATTGAGCCGGTTCTCCTCCAGTCATCTTCGCTGTTGCTCCCACGACAGGTGGACAACTAGTATACATGACAGCAGCACGGTGACGGCATTACAGGCACTTAAAACTATTACTTTAACACATTTGTGCCCAATAATGGGCTTTATTTCTGTATCGTGATCGCGAACAAATTTTTTTAACCGAATCTTCTAAGTGAACTGGTTGAATTAGTTCACTAAATCGAACTGAATCATTTGAGCACTCATCCACAAACTACTTTTTGACTCGCCTAATACCCCCTCTGTCTCTAAATAATCCAATATATACTCTAATTCAGTTATTAGAACAGTAACGTCACACTGAGATCAGATTTGAGAAGCGGGGGACCGATAATACTGTGCATGCGTGATTCAGTGAACCGAACACAAACAGCACATGACAGCCTGCTGTGACTGAACTAAACTTGAACAACTGCAGCGCGGGTAAACCGAGAGCTTAATGAGAGGATCTGATGAATAACGTAAGTTCATTTCATAACAGAAAATCATAATGGAGTTAAAATAAGAGAATCCTGCTTCAGTCGGGCTGCAAAACTTTACTGTAAGACATTTTTCAGATCATGGTGATGTTTTAACTGACTGAAATGACTATTGCTGACTGCATAATGTTGCCATGTTGAGTTCAAACATCCGCATTAAAGATCTGAACTTCCCGTCACTGCTGTGTATCTGACCTCAGAGCAGCCTTGCACACATATTGTACTTAAGACTGCTGTCTTGTGTGCTGTTGTACTTGAGTTTGAGGATGGGTAGATGGTGTTGGTAGATGATGGTGTTTATGTGTTCTCTGAATACAGGTTTCAGAAAAAGTTTTTATTATACAGTATTTATTCTGTTGATTTTGAATCTTGCATCTAACAAATATCCTTATTTAAAAAACTAATACTAAAACTAATAAAAACTAAACTAAAATTAAATAATTTCAAAATATAGAAACTAGTAAAAAAC